AGTCCAGCCCAGCTTCCATCAGGTTTCCTTTCAGTAGCAGCTGAAGTCTTTGGGCCTGCAGCACCTGCCACTTGCTGGGGCGCATACCAGGTATCCAGTAGTGTCTTAGTCCTCTAAGCAGAACAGTAGAAAGGCATCATGGCACACTCACAAACCAGCATGTAAAACAACTTGTCTCACCAATAAGGACAATGACAGAGGTTTGGATACACGTCTTCTGCAAAGGATGTGTAAGCCGCACTGCCGCGCCAAGGCACCTCTTATAGTGCGGTCCTAACTCTAAACTATGAGAGTCTCCATCTTGGAGCACATGGGGGCAGAAGATATCAAATTGGGTGCAGGCCTGTCAGGAGGACGCCCCACCTCCTTAAAGGTACAGAGACACACAAGGGATCCCGCACATCCCATTGGCAGCTGAGAAACCCCATGCGTCGCTGCACCAAATCGGTAAAGCAAAACAAACGACAAACGCACTCAACAATTTGTTACCAGTTATACAGTAAGGTGCACACGAAATGGGCTTTGAACAGTAGAACAGTAGAAAGGCATCATGGCACACTCACAAACCAGCATGTAAAACAACTTGTCTCACCACTAAGGACAATGACAGAGGTTTGGATACACGTCTTCTGCAAAGGATGTGTAAGCCGCACTGCCGCGCCAAGGCACCTCTTATAGTGCGGTCCTAACTCTAAACTATGAGAGTCCTCTAAGCCCCCCGCATCTGCCACATGCTGAGGACCAAGCCAGGCATCTGCAGTATCTTAGGCCTCTAGGCCCCCTGCATCTGCCACATGCTGAGGCCTAGGCCAGGCATCTTATATCACACAGACCTCCTCCTAGGGAGGGCCCCAGGGGGGAGAGAGTTCTGGCAAGTGTCCCCAAACCTTTTATCACCTGCCTTCAGCCATACCTCTGAGTCATCCTGCTCAGGGATTGGTCAGAGTCAGGTGCACAGTCACAGTCTGAGGATGGATCCTCCCTCACTGTATGCTGAGTCCCCAACCCAGCAACAGGGGGAGGCAATCAATCCAGCAAACTCAGGGAAACCTGTAGAACGCAGAACAGAACAGCATCCAGACTGATTACAGTCCAGAGATACACTAAATTTAGTAGCGACATAGCAGTGGGCACTACAAGACTATTAAAGATTTTAAATATACTAAAAATATGGTTTTGAAATCTGTGGAATCTCTGAGTTGCAAAGGGAAATATTGCAAATACATCTACTAAACACTAACGTGCCTAAAATCTTAAATCTTAATATTCCTTTGTCAGTTGGTTTGCTTATTTATTTTTTCTGTACTGCTCACCTGCAGTATATGACTTATGCTAAATATATTGTTTATTTTTTTTTAACAGTTGATTCTGAAGGAATTGTAAAGAACCTTACCGTGAGTACCTTCTTTTTTTATAGAGCGTGTTTGTGTATACAAAAAAAGGTATGCTTGCTAAAGGTGCATAGCAAGAGGAATAAAATATTGGAACCTATACATTAACACTTGTACAATAAACACAATAGTCAGATGTTAGCAGTTTTATGTTGACCTCAACATTATATCCAGTCCACATAAATGCATTTAAAGATTATTTTCTATAAAACAGCAGTTTTCAATGGCATACAAGTGTAGCGACAACACCGAACTTGTAGCCCATTCATTCTTCCTCCTGTCCTTGTTACCGAACATCTGTATATGATTTGCTGAACACTCGTTTTAAAATGACCCGTTTTAAAATGACCATACACATTACAATTTGAATGCACAATATCCTTTAGATCCTCTACATGTACGCAGTGCAATAGCATGCTTGACTTAGGTAAGCCTTCTCATAATGTTATTGTTGTTATAGCCAGGGACCTCAAGCAACTTTGCACATATGAAGTTTTACCTCTGCTTTTTTCTTTCCCTGTGCTTTGAGACCTGGTACCACCGATCCAGGCTAATGTAAACAATTCCTTTTTTTACATTCAACTGTCTGCAAATCATCAGGTCTGCAGACCAGGACTGAGGAAACAAAGATATGAATCAGAGTCCTCTTTTGATGTGCATTCTGCAAACTGTTACATTGTGGTAAAAATCTAAATTATGTCATGCTACACCACATATCTATTTAATCATACATCTCAACTTTCTGAGATAAGTTAGAGGGACACCTTCTAAAACAATATATGTAGGCAATGGACGAACCCCTGCTAAGCCCCCAGTTATGCGGACTATTAAGAATTTATTTGCCAAAATGATTGGCTGATCCCAGCATTGTTTTCCACCACTACTTTTTCCTCATATTGGCTTTTCAAGATAGCATATAAGATAACTAAGAGATAGGATGAAGGTTTTAGCACATAATTAGACTTTTTGTGGTTAAATAGTACATTTGATAGATATCTGTGCATCAGACCAAAAAGAGGGACAACTGAGGGACCTGGATTCAGCTAAGCAAAAATAATATAGCTAGTCTAGGCTCAACAAGGTTATAAGCCCAAAAAGTGAGGTCAGCTGCCTACCTGATTATATTGAATGACCAGGATTTTCCATCAATTGTTTTTTTTCTTCCCTGATGGCATGGCTATAGTCCAAGATGACAATGCCAGGATTCATCAGGATCAGATTGTGAAAGAATGGTTCAGGGAGCATAAGACATAATTTTCACATATGGATTGGCCACCACCTTAACTCCATTGAGAATGTTTGGGAAGTGCCAGAGAAGACTTTACACAGTGGTCTCTCGCATCATCACTACAAGATATTGGCGAAAAATTAATGCAACTATGGAAGTTAATAAATATTGTGGTGTAATCAAAGCTAAAGGTGGTCCAACAAAATATTAGAGTTTGTGACTTTTGTTTTGGCCAGGTCAATGTATATAGACAATCATGAAAAACAGAGAACACATCTAAGTTGCAGCAGGATCTATGATGCTTTTCCTAGATATTTTTAGTTTAGCACTGAAAACATATTACTCTCTACACTGCAAAAGGCTGAATGTAAACAAAGCAATGTGTACACTATACTGAGCCTGTGACGACAAATATTATTGCACAACAAAAGAAAGGCAGAGGTAAGTTGTTTTAGCTGCATAGTTGCAATGTAGTTACTACTTAGATTTTATTAGTATTCCTACTTTTCTTTTTTCAAAGGCTTGGTGCAAAAGTGTGCAGCACTATTTTCTAAAGGCCATTTGTCACAAAATGTTCGAGCAAATTTTATTAAATGCAAAATAAATATTTGTTAGCCACAGTGTTCAGCAGTAGTTAGTTCTTCAAAAGGGAGCAGACAATCTTACATGCTGTTGTTGGTTGTAGTTACAGCAAATTCCACAAGAGGTCATGTCATTCGAATTAATACTGTGTGCTACAGCTTTATAGGGACACCTTGCATTTTAAATGTTCTCAACTGAAGAGACTTGAAAAAAAATCATCTAGTTTGTAATATTCATATCTGTCTGATACAGCTATTAGGTCCATGTTTCACTAGCTATCTTGCAGCATTTTTCTTTAGCGAGGTATGCCACGCTCATCCAGCCAGTGAGGGAACATACAAGCAGGTGAGTGTTTTGCCTGCACATCTTGGTGGCCCTGTCACTGGAGAGTTGTGGGTTTACTATTGTGGGTAGGGATGCACCGATACTTTTCAGATACCAGTGACGATACTTGGCATTTACATGAGAACGACCAGGGTTGCAGCTGTTGCAGCTGGGAACTAGCTCTGGCGCTCCACCACTGTCCTGAAATCATTAGTCAATATTGTTTACTGTCACATGACAATAAACAAAAATGTATCAGTACTTGTATCTGTAAGTACTTGGGCAAGTATCAGTAAATGGTATCGGTGCATCCTTATATATATGTTTATAAAAACAAAATCGTACATTAAAACAGAGATGTACAAATCCCAGGAGCTCTGTGTGCTCCTTACAAATGACAACTGCCTCCTAACCTTTGAATTTTTCTCTAGTCTAGTCTTGGAGCTGGAAAAGTATCTTTACTTGTACCGAGTACTGTACTTGGTATCGGTGAATCTCCACAATAGGGACTCAGGAGACAGCAATACAAACCTGACAGAAGGTCTACCCCTTGCCCACTCTATCCAAAAAACAATTATCTGGAGATACACTTGAAGTCCTTTCATCTTTAATAGTTTGTCTTATAACCCTGAGGGAAGTAAAAGTTCCAGCATCCCCAAACTGACAAAAATATCTGACACAGACATACAGAGAGCAAAACCTACTGGACAGGAAAACATTACATCAAAAAACTTCCAAAATTTGTAGGAGAATTTGACGGGGGCTATTACCACTGAGACAGTGAATGCAAAATTTGACTTATAAATGCACTGCAAAGGGACTGAGCTGCAGTGTAAATCTGGGCATACATGTAGCAATATGAAATTGCTATTCAATACAATACATCAAATGGCGGTTTCAATTGACTCTAACGTGATGAGATTGAAATTGTCTTGATTGAACCCAGAGGAAAAATCTGGTTTATTTTAAGAAAATATTTGTTTCTTGTTTTCAGTTTGATGTACCATTAAACTGTGAGTTGGTGCTGTCCCTAACAACCACCAATATGGCTGTAACTGTCTCCCTCCCCCCCTCCCCCCCCCCGTTCTCAGGTACACCAGTGCTCCAACTGACCCCCTGTCAATATAAAGTGTGTTGGGCCAGACAAAGTGGTTGTCATATATAAGGGGTCTGATAATTTGCATATTAGCAATCATCCCAACTTACAGTTAATAGTCTGTATTCAGAGAAAAGCTGCAAATAAAACCCGTAGACAAGTTTTTGTTTAGTCTGTAGTCCTAGCCTATAAAAACAAAACTTATAGTAAACTAAGCCCTGTCCACAAACATTACTGTTTTCACAAAATCTTTGAACGTATTGCCAGCTATGTTACATCATGATGAATCATTGACATCATTAAATCCGGTGATTATTATTCAATAAATTATTACTCAGAAAATAAATTGTTTCACATGTTTAAAAAGCAGGAAGAGCAAACTGCTCAGTCTCTGACACTGCTTCTGTGGTGATGAGAAATCTGCTTCAATAATATATCCACAAAAGAAGAGTGCATTCATTTGTTAGGTTGGCAACCATTTGTCTTTTACAAACCACAAAACTTATCCTATTTACTGGTGAATACAAAACAATAGCATGTCTCTATTTTTTTCCTAAGATTCCAAAGAAATGTTTGCAAATTGTAATGGGTTGAGGCATTTCCTTTTGGTACCCCATGGAATAGCTAGGAAAAAGATTGTAGCAACTGCAGCTGTTATTGCAAAAGATGAAAGTTATCTCCTTGGAACGTACAGGATAATGATGCCATTAAAGGTTTACTCATGACTGACAATTTCCTTATTAGCTTAACTCCGGTGTGTTAATACCAAAAGATGATTGCTAAGGAAGTATTTCCAAAGATTTACTTCAAAATTAAAATATAGAAATAAATAGGATGATCCAATAAAGGCATTAGACAACCCATGGTTGCCTCGGATAGTTGCATATTCTGCAGAAGACATTGGCAAACACTGATCATTTTATCTTATCCCTAGTGGATTCTCAGTAGTAATGTAAGCATATTTTGTAACTCGGTGCCCCTGATCTGCTCCTTCCTGACTACATAGACTCACTCTAGCATCAGCTACATATCACTGCTCTGGATGGGCTATTTGATTACAATTGTGGACTACGTCTGAGCAATGTGTGTCATCATGGCGGCATTTGGCTCGGCTATTTTGCTTGGTACCTCTGTGGTAACGAGCAGAATAGAAAAACAGTTAAAAAAATAGAAGAAATAAAATAGAAAATGATTGGGCGGAGCTAGCAGTGACAGCTAGCTCCACCCAACTGTTTTCTATTGGCTGTGACCACCTCTCATTACAATGAGAGTATGTCAGAGCCGGCGGTGATATAAAAAAGCAGGCTCTGCTAAGCTCTCATCCTAATGATGGAACAGTGTCCCTGGTTACCTGATAACCAGGGACGCTGATCAGTCATTACATTGAAAACCCGGCGGTTCTGCTGCCTTCAGAATAAAATTAAAAAATCAGCATAGGAATGCATAGCTAGATTCCTATTGACTATTTCAATTTGCAATATCCAATAGCAAGCTGGCTATTGCACCCGCCCTCTGCTGCTGTCAATCACTAGAAGGGGACCTGATGGAGAACTTCAGGTCCCGTCTGCTGATTGACAGTAGCAGTGGGCGGGTGCAATAGCTAGTTTGCTATTGGATTCTCTATCGAGCAGAGTAAAACTTTCCGGGAGAAAATAGCGGGCGACTCCCGGAGCGTCCGGGAGAGTTGGGCTGTCTGGAGATCAGCGTCCCTGGTTACCTGGTAACCAGGGACGCTGATCTGTCTGTGTAAGTGGCCGCAGCCAGCTGTGAGATGACGACTGACTCCACCCAGTCAGTAGCAGGCTGTCGGCCGGCCAACTTCGGCTTTCACCTGGGCTCAGTCGAGCCGAAGCATATGCCTTCGGCTCGACTGAGTCCCTCGGCCAACTTCAGGAGCTGTAAGGGCTATAGTGGATAGCCTGTACAGCAACCCTTCGGTTCTACTGAACCGAAAGTGTCCTGGGGCCGAAGCTAGCCAAAGGATCAACCGAAACTATGGCTAGATCCTTCGGCAGCTTTGTGAATAGACCCCTATGTGACAGGGTGACAATACAGGAACACAATTAAAAGGCAGGAACACAATGATGGAAGCTTATAACAAGAAGTGCCTGAACAAGGACCTTCATGGCAGGATCACCAGGTATCATCCTCAAGAAATGTGAAGATATAAAATAATTAAAAAAAACGTTTGAAATTGCTTTAACGTGTTGAAGCTTATTTTTTTTATTGGGGGGGCGGGGGTTATATTCATTTTAGAACCAGCAAGGGGTTGATCACTGCTACCCCTATAAGAAATTTTTTTAACCTTTTGCAAATTACCTATAAGAATAATGTCTTAAATATAACTTATTAAATATGTCTTATTAAACTACATTTAGCAAAGCTTGGAAATATAACAAGGGATGTTGAAAGAGATTTTTAAAAGGTTATCAGTAAATGCTTCCAAAGAAGGAAAGCTGGCATATATTATAAATTATTTTATACTATTTGTATTTTATTTAAACCTACAGTTTATCAGAATTTTAGGGAACCATTATTATTATAAATGTATTTATGCATCTAATGTAATAAACAAATAAAATCAGTTTTAGCAGCATAATTCACTGGTCATGCATTAGGCTTGAACAAATAATTAGGGACTAGCTATCAGGATCTTCTACTCTTGCAAAGTCAGTAAGGCATTATAGCAAGCTAATCAAACTACTCTGTAAAAAAAACTATTGTTATATTTTTGACAGTGCCGAAAATCGGAACAGCATTTTAGGCCTTACATGAAGCAAGACCTACCCAAACGATTCCACTATGCCAACCATATACGGATTGACAAAGTTCATCTCTATGTGGACAGACAATGGCTTGTTGTGAGGTATAGTATATGCAAACTGTTTTATCAGTTATTGGTGGGTGTAAAGAGGTCCACAGAGATGTAGCTAAAATTTCCAGAGTATAATACTCATAACCATTTCAAATGCTGATTAAATCACTTACAATGGAAGCTGCTCCTTGGTGTTTAAAATGTTTAGCTTCCTGCAGAAACAGCTGGTCCCATGAGCACCAGCTCTAATATCTTATTTTAAGGTCCTATGGAGCCAGCCATGTGTATGCTAGTAAGCTGTGTGTGTATCCCCAAGTGCACGAGCACAGCGAGGTCAGCCACTCCACTCCTTCTGCTCCTAAGCCCCTCTCTCCTCCCTTCTCCGATCTAGAAAATCGACAGCTGCTGGAGACTGCTCTATTGCCTTGTGATGTTGTACTGGATAGGAAGTTCAGGGAAGCAGAGCTGAGAGAGTTAGAGCTGTTTAGAGACATAATGACTGAATACACTGAAATACTTTACTGGGCAATGTATATTTGTTTGATATGGATTCATTACTGAAAAATAAGCTTAATACTACTTTAAGGAAAATAGAATTGTGGTAATGAAACAATGGATTAACACTGATAAACATTAAAAGTGAAGAAGATGATCAGTTTCCCATTTATTATCAAACAGGGACCCCAGCTATACTTTCTGTGGAGGAGGGAACCATGGATACGACAATGAGTTCAAGAGCATGGAGGTATGGACATTACTTATTGAAATCATATCATATCATGCATTAAGATATTAGGCTTTGCTTCCCAAAACTGTAAAATGAACCTGTCACCAGACTATGGACATAAAACAAATTAAACATGCTGAACACGCATAATAATATCTCTCAATTAAGCATTTCCTGTTTTTAAACCGTGTAGGCACTGAAAAGTAATTAAATCTGGGATTTGGCAGTCAGTGCAAAATGAATGCAGATTGCTCTGTCTACCTGACCTGCAAACTCTGAACGCTCCCCCATCTACCTGTGACGCTGCAACTTTCATCCCAGTTTGTAAGCGGGATCTTCCTGAATGACTGTGGAACGTTAACAGAACCTGTCGAAGAAGCATAATGATATGCTGTGGCTGTGTGTTCACTTGACAGTTTCCAAACCTGAAACTCTGCACTGTAAGCACAGTTTAGCTTTAAAATAGCGAGAATGTAACTTTTGGAAGCACCATGTTCAGCAAAACAAAGATACTTCCGACAGAGCCCTTGATATACTTGAAAACAATCAATGGGAGGGGGTGTACATTTAGCCTACATTAACCTTTATGATAAATACAGACAGTAATGCATACTCAAAATTAAAGGGGGGGAGGGGGGCTTCTACAAATAGTAGTATACCATGAGAGGCATAGCCTAAAACTTGAGAACTGGCAACTGAAACAAGTAGTTGCATGCCATATAAGAAAAAGTGCAGCATGAACGCTTGGTGGAGAGAGCACCCGCTACCCTTCATCTTTCACTGATGGTTCTGAAGTTTTGGGTTCTGTGGTAGCCTTTCCTTTAATACTACAGTATTATTTTCGAATACACCCTTGTCTTCCTTTTGTCTGTATGCTGACATTTGTATACCTCCTTCAAGTCACTGTGAGAAAGGCTGCTGTTTTAGTATAGTACAATACTATTGCTGCTTGTCGAAAAGGCTGTGCTAAATATTTGTATTTGTGAAATGCTATACATACCCCTATGCAAACACAGCATACATATATTTTAATAAAGAACTTTTTAAAATGCTCTTCATATTAGACACTCCTCACCTGCATGGATGTAACCTTTGTTGGGCATGACCAGTAATACCTGCCATTCATGAAAAAACAAAGTTTGATAAACATATAGGCTTAGAATGCGTTCCTGTTTTTCTCACTGGTCTTCATTATCAGTGCAAAGAAGAAACTGGACCTGTATAAAATGTGTCTTGTGTAAAAAGAAGAAAAAAACCTGTTTGCTCTCTTTTTGTCTGCTAAATATGATTAACAATTTTTTAAATATTCTTTTTAGTTGTTTTGTGCTATAACGGAAAAAAATATCCTGCCAGAATTCAACTGCCGTGTTGTGTCCTGTACAGTGTATTTTAACCCCTTCTCAGTGTAACACAAATATGTGGCGTCACAGAAGTGGACATTTTTTTTTTTGCTAGGAGTGAGCTTGAGCACACACCTCCAGCACTCAAACCGACAGATCCTGGTCTTGGACTAATGGCAATCCTGATCACATAATCCCTAGTAGAAGACATCTGAAAAAAGCAACAAAAAAAAAGAGATATTAAAAAAAGCAAAGTACGCACTTATGTTTCTGGACTCTACTGTCGGTGCAAACAACAAAGGAGAATTTAGTTTGTGTTTTTTTTTTTCGATGGGTCATGGTAATGGAAAGAAATATACAGCTACAGTTTAAAAAAATTGCTATTCTATTACTATTTGGGCCAGTGTTCCTTTCATATTTAAAAAACAATTAGGAGCTATCCATAAACATTTACATTACACTTTATGTCCTATGGTGACAATGCTGCTGCACCATACATACAGTACAATGAGTGAGCGTTGTCACCCTAGGACAGGAAGTGTTCTTCTGGCAGGATTACTAGGTTTAAGATAAAAATTTGAGATAAAAATTAACACTAATGTCATCACCACACCTGTTAAGCTGCAATGCTGTATATTACACCTTTGTTCTTCGGTTTAGATAGACTTAAACTATTTCAATTTCAATTGCAATTAATTCAGAATTTAGGGCCCATTGACATCAATTCGGTCCTTTGCAGTGCATATAATGCATGGATGTTGTTGTGTGAAAGGGCCTTTATTGTTTCACAGATATTGTTAAACTAAGCATCAATTTCATCTGTTTTTGATATTCCAGGCAATCTTTGTAGGGCACGGTCCAGGATTTAAACAGAAAGTGGAAGTGGAAGCTTTTGATAATATAGAACTTTATAATTTGATGTGTGGTGAGTTATAAGCTTTTTTATTTATTTATTTATTTTATTTATTAACCACTGAATTATAATAGCAATGTTCTATTTACATCATTAATGCTCTTCAGCAAAACACCAGTCTTACTTCTTTACCTACAAATGATGTAGCATGTATAGTACTCACCTGCAATATATTGATATATTTTTGTATGTACTATGCACCAATTTATTGTTACCTGCTTTATCACTTAGGCCCCTTCCACATGGGCTGATCAGGATAGGATCCGTGCACAGATCCCCTCCTGATCACAGCCGTACGGAGCGGATGTCACTGCTGTGATATCCGTGTTTGTATACTTTTTTTTTCTCCATCTTGCATTGCAGGAAAAAAATGCAATTACTGGGCCCCATCTCTCCCCCATCTCTCCCGATCTAGCACAATCAGGTCCAGGGAAACATCTTTTATCCGTTTGGTTTCCTGGACCTGGCTGGAGACGGGGGTAACCAGGTTTAAATGGACGCCCATCCATTTTCACACAGCTGTTTATAGACTTACAATGGGTCCGATTTGGTCTGTCTGAAAAAAACGGTATTTGTGCAAATATTTATCAAACTAGTATTTTTAGGATAAAATACACTAAAATGAAATTTAGTGCACAGAAACAGAATATAATACCCAATTTTTTGGTAAACTATAAAAGATGGGGTCACGTCAGGTAAATAGATACCAAACATGTCAAGGCTTAAACTTAAAAAACTATAACCCAAAATTTACCATAGGCGTTGCTTTAAAAGCTTTTACTGCTCATCAGTTTAGTGTTAACAGTGATAATGGCCCTAGAATTATTGCTCTCACTCCGACGTTCATGGCGATATGTAATATGATATGATAGGCGCACCCGAAGCATGTTTGCACTTGTATGTGCGTGCACTTTAAAAAAAATGTATTTGCATTTTTTATGTGACTTTCATTTTTTATATTTTTTTCATTTTTTTTTCACACTTAAATGTATTGCTATCACATAGGGAGCTAACAAGCCCCCTATGTAATAGCAAATATGATGTTACAGGTCCTCTTTATGGAGACATCAGACCCCTAAATTCATCTAGGGACCCCAAAGAAGCTGATAAAGCAGCAATCTACTTCACCAGCTTCTTCTCCTGGCTCTAGGCTCAATGTACACAATGACACCGGAAGTGATGCAATACACATCACGTCCGGGTCAAGTGATCGGAGAGATCAGCGGCTAGAAGCTTGCTGATCTCCCCCCGATCAGTGAGGGAAGACACGCTGTGGCAGCCCCGGGCCCGCACAGGGTACAGCAGAGCACGGGGGAGCCAGCAGTGGCGGAGAGGGGTACACATTCAGGCTGTATATCGCTTGTACCTAAACAGGCATTGCTGGCTGTAGCAGCCGTGTTCTTGGTATAACAGCTTCAGGACCGGACGTTTTTTGACAGTGGGCCGTCCTGAAGTAGTTAAGTAGCTTTCAATCCCAAAAATTAACAAACCATTTTAACATACCACAAATAATTTCTATTAAAACCGCACAATGCTTGAAACTGTTGGTGGATTTGGTCTAGTTGGTCATCTCTGCGATTGTGGCTAAACTGTTTTAATAATATTATGTGTATGGCCAGAATGAGTCTGCCCTTCTCTGAAAAGAAATGGTGAATAACAAATAGTAATATATACAGTAGATCAGCAAAAAGCTGGAATTTTATGTGATTCCTGTAGTTGTATGTCCTCAACATTTATGGTCATTATCAGCAAATTCATATTATAGTAGCTCTGGCAGTATACGAACAGACCGCACTATCCAGAGAATTCCAATACTGCAGACTTTATTGAAATTCACAGCATATGAAAAGTGCATAAAGCAACAAATGCCAGCACTGAGGTTGTAGTTGGTTGGGGGTGTGCAGTGCTGGCATTTGTTGCTTTATACAAGTCTGCATTATTGGAATTCTCTGGATAGTGCAATCTGTTCGTATACTGGTATATTCCAAGTTGGAGACGCACCTATTGGACCAGCACCTGGGGAATCCTGATGGTGGCTAAGGAATTGGAGCGGTGAGATTTCCTTTGGCTGTTCAGTAGCTCTGGCGTTGTACATTTGTCTATCCTTTCTGTAACTGAATAAACTTTACATAAATGGAAAGAGACCAAAAGAGTGCAATATGCAATAAAAAATTATCCTGAAACATTTTCTTTGTTAAATTGTGTCAGGGATGAGAACATGTTCTTATCACCCTATTGTTACACTTCAGTGTCTGCAGTTGGAGAGGATTCTTATTCACATCTCGGAATGTGGTGACAGCAGCAACATAAAAAAAGATATGGGGGGTTAATTTACTAAAGGCAAATATGCTGTCCACATTAAAGGGGAATTTGCACTTTGCACGGGATGTTTCCCCTTAGTTTAGTGAATGAGGTGAAGCTCTGCTGACTTCTATCAGCCAATCATGTGCAAGTAAAAATAAAAAAAAAATCACATTCCTTGCATGTGATTGGGTATTCTTTGCAAAGTGAAACTTCTCCACATTCAGTAAGCCAAGGGAAACTTCCCCTGCAAAGTGAACAGCCTATTTGGCTTTAGTGAATCAACTCCATAGTGTTTAAAGAAATGTACAATAGAATATTGTGTAAAGGTAAGCTCTCCAGGAAGGATAAGATGGTGTTAGTGTTATACTAACAAACCTCATACATTTTTATAGCCATATTGGATGTTTAGCACGCACTGGAACAGAACTTTTAAATGACAGAGCAGAAGTAAAATATTAAAGTGACATGATAATTTTAATACCAATTAGTAAACCAAGCGTGGGACTCTAGTCCATCACGGGTGTGAGCTTGGAGCGTTGGCTGCTTTACAACACACACAGGGACCATGGGGAACAAAAGTAGCCACCCTCCAGAAGGAAAGACAGTGTCAGCACCAATTCAGAGATGATTTGAGGATCTACAGCCAAGAGATACACAAATAAGATACGTTTTTGTTAATAGTTAAGGTACTTGAATGCATTTTTAAGATACAGCTCTCGAGTTTAGTGTCACTTTAATCGTCACATGGGCAATACATATGACAAAATAAGTTTTCTTCTCTCATGTTTACATTAGACTTAAAAAAAATCAGGAAGCAATTTTTTAAAACTAATTATTAATAACAGTGATTTCCTTTTTAACAGATCTCTTAAAAATCCACCCAGCTCCTAACAATGGGACCCATGGCAGCTTAAACCATTTACTAACAGAACCAATTTATAATCCAACTCATGTGCCAGAAAAATCAACCCCTTCAACATGTACCTTTGCTCAGCCATCTTCCAATTTAAATTGTTCATGCAATCTGGTGCGTATAAGTAGATTACAAATTTAATCCAAATATGTTTTTTCTTACATAGCTCAAAATGCAATAACATCAATTTAAAAAGCTGCTTGAGTTATTTTACATGCATTTGTAATTTTATCTCCTGATTTTATCTCCTGTTTTTGTTTAAATATGATCAGTTTACAAAAATATCACATTGCTGTGGTATGCTTTTTTTCTGCATGAAATGCACACTTACCTATTGAAAGCCTCAATTTCTCATAATTGTATTTTATCCTACAAATCATTATTTTATCATCACCTAAAATGGCTTCTTCTACTTATATCCTGGACACTTCAAGAAATGTGCAGCTCTCAGACGCAATACAGCACACTGCAACGCACAAGAGAAATGTTAATAGACATAGCAAAATAAAATAATAAAGAGCATTTTTGCAATATGACACATTTCTCTGTATATTATGCCTTTAACCCTTTCGCTGTCAAGGCGTGTTTGGTTTCCCACCAACACCCGTCATGCTGGTCCTGGGCACGCAGGAGTTGGGGGTGTCAGGCTAGGGGGTGCACTACACCTGGAAGCAATCTGGTGGCAGTTCAGCCGCTAGAATCACTTCCAGTGTGAAGCGGACACATGTAAACAGCTATAGCCGCCGGGAGTCTGTTTAAAGGGGCCCGCTGCCAGCAATGTATGACATACATGAGAGCATTTAAAGGGTTAAACTGCAAGTACAGAAAAATTGCTGTTGATTTGCCAAAAAAGCACTCAGCTTTTAAAGTGGAAATACACTGTCGCAGTAAACAAATCAAATGACAAACATCCATATATCTAAACAAGTGAAATTCTTTCACAGCATCCGAAATCCAAATAAGGAACCGAATCAAATTTCAGATCCGAAATCCAAAAACGAAATAGGAATCCAAATTGATACGAAACTAAACAATTTTTTTCTGGGGTTACATGTCTAGTAGACAGGCACCTGAGGTCATAAAATCTGCCTGGATTGAACGCCCATTACCAATAGGAGACCTTCTCTTGCAAAGCTTGAATGGTAAACCATGTGAACACACTTCCTGCATGCCCTTATCCTGTCACCATTACGGTGCTGAGCAACACCATGGGGTCTATTCACGAACCTGCCGAAGGATCTAGCCATAGCTTCGGCCGATCCTTCAGCTAGCTTTGGCCTTAGGACCCCTTCGGTTCAGTAGAACCGAAGGGGTGCTGTACGGGCTATTTACTATAGCCCGTACAGCTCCTGAACGTGGCTGAGCGGCTCAGTCGAGCCGAATGCATATGCCTCGGCTCGACTGAGCAGCAGCTTAGTGAAAATGACCCTCATGAGTTGCTTGGTGCCACTGATAATAGCCAGAAGCTTTGAAGATGTACAGATGAAAAACTGGAACATGGACAGAAATGGAACGGGGCTCCACAGATTTATGAAGGTAGATGTAGCATGTGACTGACTATCACTGGCGGAACTACCAGGGTCGCAGCTGTCGCAATTGCAACCGGGCCCTGGCGTTCCGCCACTTGGGGGGGGGGCCAGGAAGGAAGAAGATGCTCACTTTTATTATAATGTATTGCTGGGACTTATAGTCCCGCATATCTGGTGGTATTTTGCATACCTGTACGATGATTATACAGCTATGCAGAATAGCACCAACTATGTATGACTACATGTCCCAGAAATGCATTATAGTGGTGTGATGCTGTGGGTATTCTGCATAGCCGAGTTTTATTATAACTTGTCCCGCATAGCTGGTGGTATTCTGCAATGCTGTATTATGATTATACAGCAATGCATTATATTTTTAAGTAGAGATGCACCAGTGTTAATACTGGGCATTTTCACAAGTACTCGTAGTCGTGAAAATGCCCCCATACTAAACGCAGATACCGGTGTTCTGTTGAGAACGCTGACGTAGTCGAATTTGCCGACCTCAGCATCTGCGCTTGCGCACAGACCAGTATTATCGAGGAAACAGGGATCTATTTACAAAGTATTTCGCTTAAATCGTTAATTGTGACTGTTAATAATATTCCATCCATCATTTACTGCCATCCATCATTCACTGCCATGGACGGTATATTATTAACGGTCACAATTAACAATTACAAATTAATATTTGTAAATAAATGCCGGTTTCTTCGTTAATCCCATCTGTACATAAACGCAGATACTGGGTCGGCGTTCCTGACCGAACACCAGCACTAAAATTTTAAACAAGCGGCTGCCTGAGGTATCGCGCTTGCTGGGGACCTCAGCAGCCTGAGGCCCCCCTGGGGGCCTTCATCGTTTCTAGCACCAGGGCCCTGAAGGTTCTAGTTACGCCTCTGCTGACTATTGTACATTGGGTAATGTAGGGTACTATTACACTTTAAGCCCACAACACACAGCGTTTTCTGGAAGGAGTGGTGTTAGCCCTGCCCAATGTATTTTAGGTCAACCACTCCCACTCTCAGATCTCTACAAGATAAAGGCTAATCATTCTCTAGTCCAAGATAAGAGCTAGGAGGGCTGTTTGAGATAACACAGAAAGTGTGCAGGAGACACAGGACAACTCTGATTTTCTGAAAAGGTCAACAGCCAACAATCAACAATCAGGTGCTATTGTATAGATACGTGGTTCTCAAACCTAAAAGCTTTTCTCATCTGTGAGGCCTGCTGTCCAATGTGGTGATTCCTACAAATGGTTTAAACCAATTTTTTTATTTATCAAACCAATGGTTTAAACAGTTTGTTGTCTTTTGAATTATTTAGTTCTACTATTCCATTTGTTTTACATTTCACTAATACTATTTCAATAATTCAGTAAGCACTGCCTGGCCAAAAAAAAAATGGAAATTGGAGAAATTTACCCTTCTTTTATCCTGGTAAACACGGGATGGAAAAAGATAATAAAAAAATATATTCTTTCACAGTTGTTACCATAAAAAAATACAAAAATCTTGTAAATCAAATCATCCGTTAACAACTGTCAGACAATGTATTTGTTCTCCGTACAGGAAAATTTAATAAAAAGATAACACATTGTTGGGAACATATACATTGTATGCACTAGGACAGTGGTTCTCAACCTGTGTAACCTCAGGACCCACATTTGTCCTTGGTCATTAGGTCGTGACCGTACTGGAACGCACATCCTGCACCAGAATGGGCAGTAGGTGCAATTATGTGGTAAGGTGCGTTAAACACACAGGACTATGCGATTAACGCACTGTACTAGTGTGAACGGGCCCTCAAAAACACTGACAGACACACACAACCACAGACACAATCTCACACACTCAGACATTCTCACACACACATACACACTCCTTTTAAATCTGCCCAGTCTCCCTATCTTATGAGAACTGGAGTGGATCCTCAGCCTGGGGTCCAGTGTGGGCTGCTGTGCTGTGATGGAGCTCCATCCATATGTGCATTGCTGGTACAGCTCCCTTGCGTGCCCTGTAGAGGTTCCGGGAGCCAGAATGTGACGTCACTCTGGTCTAGGCACCTTTACAGGACACGTGAGGGAGCTGTAAACAATACACATATGGATGCCACTTCCTCGCGGCCATAGCCCCATCCCACCTCACCCTACCTCAAGCTGTCACTCGGCACTGGGCAGCATATTTTGAATGGCTGCTTGGTGTGAGAACTGACAGTGCTGCGTTAGGAGCCTCTTACCTAGAAAAGTGGAAGGCATGCGGTGACCCACTGAACACGGGTTCGCAACCCACTTTTGGGTCACACCCCACCAGTTGAGAACCAAGGCACTAGCATACAATCAGTATTTACTCTTACTTTGGAGAGATTTCTTCTCACAACTTTCTATTGTTGCCCTTCCCCCCAAAAAAAAGGTTTTGGCTAAAGATACTCATTAAAACTTTTGACATTACTAGCTCTTTAATGACAATTTGCCATTCAATTACTTACAGGTTAATGAAGCAGACGTAAATGCAAGGTTAAATCTTGATCAGAACAGCAGTAAGTAATAGTTGTCTTACCGAACATAAGAATACATGCCAATCTGTGCTGGCTATAATTATATCTCAAATTGATTCATAGAAACCGAATCAGAGGAGAAGAATTTGCCATATGGCAGACCCAGGAATGTATATGACAACAGTACATACTGCCTCCTTCATCAGCAAGGATATGTGAGTGGATACAGCCATGATATCTTGATGCCACTTTGGACGGCCTATACGGTGGAAGCAAAGGTGTGTTATGACTTTTCTTTTTAGTTCACTATGTTGTGGAAATCAAATGGACCTAATGCAAATTTGATGAAGCTCTAACTGGCCTACAGACCAAAAATCCTCTATCATAACTTCCTGAGATGAGAACGAGAGACAGCTTTTAACACAAACTAAGTAGGTAAAAAACACACCCCTGCCATCCCCTATGTATGCTGCCCATGAAGAATTAATACACCAAAAATGATTGGCTAAACTCACAAATCTTTCTTGGCTGTGACTCTGCACTGTCAGCTGATAGATGGCATTAGCCTGCTATCTGCTGACTTTGGGTCACAGGAGTACATTAGTAAATGTGACCCAAAAGAGATGTCAAAGGCTTTACAGTAATTTAGACACTTATAACATAAGTGTAAAAGATATCAGAATTGATGTAGCTATCTGGGTAATAATTTATAACTAAGTGTAAAAGATATCAGAATTTATGTAGCTATCGGGGAATAATTTATAACTAAGTTTAAAAGATATCAGAATTTATGTAGCTATCAGGGGTAATAATTTATAGTGTAAGTAGAAAAATATATCAGAATGGATGTAGGTATGTAATGTGATAACGTTTACAATAATAGTAACAGAGAGATAACAGAATTTATGTAGCTTATGTAACTATCAGGGGTGATCATTGCAACATAACTCCTACCATAAGAGAGATATTTGGCTTTATTTGAAAGAGAGTTTTTCCTTATAAAAATAAGGCATTCTTGACCATGCACATTCCCTAACACAGAAACTGCATTTCATTAAAAATAAATATTACCAATAGTCTCTCTGGGTGCTGGAATCTTGTTTCTGATCATTTTTTACTGCTCTTCTGGAATAGCATTTACATGCTCACACCAACATGGTAATTTTACAGAAGCGCTGGTTGCTCTGCCTACCCACTGACACACAATTACTGTCTCCTAATCCAGCTAACATATGGCTGGATTAAATAACTATCTATGTCTGTGGTACCCTTAGACAACTCTGGGCATCCGCTCTGCAGGACACAATAAATAAGATAGGTTAGGAAACCTTGTTATGCTCACAGATAGGCTGGTTTCAGATCTGTCTTTCCATGTCTTCTTCCTCCTGGCACCACTTCTCCTGGAGAAAAGTAAGGTTGCCAACCTATGTTGTCTCCTGAATGGGGCACAAGACTAGCTAATCAGAATTACAATTTTCAAGTAAATTAAGGTAAATTTGTTTTCATATATGTATTTCTGTTGTTAGTTGTTAGCTGGAGTTCAGCTTTGACTTCTATCTAGATTTCTGTCTGCAGATGACTTGGAAATGTTGCAATAAAGTGGAGATACGTGCGCAGATCACACTACCTCCCTTTCTTAGCTACAGTAGTTCTGATTTGTAAAAGGTTTGGCTATCCACATTGATGGCTATATCTGACAGATATGATCACCTGGGAGGATGCCAAGCACTTTTATCCATCAGAAGACATTAGAAATCATGTGACTCATGAATAATTACTTCTTTCATATATAAACAAATATCTGCTGGCCTAAAAGTTAGTAGCAAGCCACACAAGGGCTGATTATCTACCTGAAATTTCTAAAACATGTCATCTCTGCACATTATCTTTGCTGTATGGGCATCTTAACTGGATGACACAGCACTTGCAGACATTTCATTTTCTGGAAAGGTGCTTTAATTGTTAAATACATCAGAATCCTTGTATAGTAAGTGACTAAGTGCCTATCCCAGAGACCTCTTTGAATCATTCTCTGTCTAGCCACTGAGTAAAATAACTTGCATGCACTCAGACAAACCATGTTCTATTTCTCATATCAATTTTAAAGAGTGAGACATTCAGAAAAGATGGCATGGAAAGCAGCATTACAGCAGACAAGGTGTTTTCTGGATCAATAACACTGTTTTGTGACTATTCTGTACCAGGGTGAAGGCTCTACTCTACCTCCTACAGTAGCAGACTGTCTGCGGCCTGACGGTAGAGTCCCAGAGGCAAGCAGCCAGAAATGCTCAGACTACAAGCTTGGGATGAACATTACCCACAGCTTCCTCCATCCTCCCAGTAAGTACACTTCTTTAAATAGATATTTGTGAAAGCTTTAATCATCTGGATGTGGCTGAGCAATATGTCTAAACCCATTACTAAACACCATTGCCTGTTGTGGGTGCTCATGTGGACTGGCAAAGTTTTCCCTTTGGTTCATTCATGTTAAAAACACATAGACATCTTCTAAAGAATAAACAGCAAAATAAGTTAACATGTCACAACGTGTTAAACTCTGCTTGTCCCAAAGAATCCTAAAGACGTGGAACATATTCTGCTACTTATATGCTTAGCAACTTTTGGCAGGAGAAATTATACTTTTAAGGGGATTTCCAATATGATCTCTTAAATTACACTACCGGACTTTAGCGAGAACAGCTATTTATTGTCTGTACAATGTGTGTCAAACACATTCTTTTACAAACTGTTTTAGGTGATAATAGAATTCTCATCATTATAATTTGACATTAACTTCCTCAGCATACTATTATCTATTTGTCCTCTGTGCATATAAATGATGTACCACATGCTAAAAACTGTACTCCAATCAAACAACTAAGGGGTCTATTTACGAAGCAGCCGGAGGATCTAGCCGTAGCTTAGGCCGATCCTTCGGCTAGCTTCGGTCCCAGTAGAACTGAAGGGCTGCTGTACGGGCTATTCACTATAACCCGTACAGCTCCCGAACTTGGCCGAGCGGCTCAGTCGAGCCGAATGCATATGCCTCGGCTCGGCTGAGCCACCCTGAAAGCCGAAGCTGGCCGACAGCCTGCTTCTGACAGCTGGGCGGAGCCAGCCGTGATCTTACAGCTGGCTCCGGCCACTTGCAGAGAGATCAGCGTCCCTGGTTACCAGCTAACCAGGGACACTGATCTTCAGACAGCCTAACTCTCCCGGGCGCTCCGGGAGTCTCTTTTTTTTTTTTGTATTCTGACACGGAGCCGTTGGCTGGCGTCAGAATAGGAAAAAAAAATGTCACCATAGGAATGCATTGCTAGATTCCTATTGGCTATTTCCATTTGCAATAGCCAATAGCAAACTTGCTATTTTACCCGCCCTCTGCTGCAGTTCTCAGAGGGCAGGTACAATAGCTAGTTTGCTATTGGCTATTGCAAATTGAAATAGCCAATAGGAATCTAGCAATGCATTCCTATGGCCAAGTTTTTTTTTTCGTTTTTTTGACGGCAGCAGAATCGTTTTCTATTTTTATCTTTCTACATTTTTAACAATTTTTTTGTTCTGCTCGGTCCCACAGAGGGAACGAGCAGAACAGACGAGCTGTCCGGCATCTATAAGAATAGAGCGAACAGCAGCGAGTAGCCTGTCAAAGGTTCGGCTTAGCCGATCCAGATGTTGGATCGGCTGAGTCGAACTCCTTCTGCACTTCGGGTCGGCCGAACATGCTGAGCACGTTTGGCCCACCGAAAGCCACGCAAAGCCACCCGATGTACGGCTGATTTCAACCGATATATGGAGCGCAAACCCAACACTTGTCATCACCCTGAGAACACCATCCCACAATGAAGAATGATGGTGGCAGAATCATGCTGTGGGGATGCTTTTCACTTGCAGGGACTGAAAAACTTGCATAGATTAAAGGAAAAGTGGATGGAACTAAATACAGGGCAATTCTTGAAGAAAGCCTGTTTCATTCACTACGGATTTAAATCTGGAACAGCAACTCGCCTTCAAGGAGGACAATAATCCTAAACATACTGCTAAATACTGCTGTATATCAACGCAATCCATGCAATAAGCTGGATACGTTTTGCTTTGAAGAATGGGCATACATCGCAGTGGCTAGATGTGCTAAGCTAATAGAGACGTACCCCAAGATACTTCCAGCTGTAATTGCACCAAATTGTGGTTCTGCAAAGTATTACGTTTTGGAGCGGGGGTGAATACATTCAGCAGTTGACTGCTGCTGAATATATTGTTAGAATTCCAATCCCAAAGAAGTTTTCACACCTTATCTAATATAGATCCAATTGTTCAAGTCCCCATTTTATTCCTGTAAACCCTAATGAATGGGGAGGTATCTAGCCTCCAAAAGCATTGTCAGTTTTTATGTGACAGTAGTACCAGCAATTGAAGTCACTTTGGACTTAGTGGTGTGGCAACCATCCACACATCTATACTTTGAGTTGCTTCTGGGTACCCATTGACGAAATGCTGTTTGTTTGTGAGTTGCCCTGCCAGAGCCAGTGAAGATTTCCTTGTGTTCAAACAATTGGACTACGTGTTAAAATCCCAGCGCCACTAAAATTTTGTTTTCTCATACTGTCTACAGCACTTAAGTGTCTGAAAAATCACAACTACACAGAAATAGGAATGGAGCCTATGCAAATGGCATAGTAGGACATAGGTGCATTGTGCAGCACTATATCTAAGTACAGCCATGTAGCTTAAATTTCAAGTATTCTGATGTATGACCTGAAATAGGGAACATTTTGATTCAAGTTTAAAGCTTGCTTTTGTAGTATTTATATATCGTGCCATGAGCACCCTTTGGAAGTGTATGTACTGCATTAAAAGGTAGGACGCTAAAGGAAGTTAGGAAAATCTCCCCAATGGGGTGTGATATTGGGGAGCTCACAGAGCACTCGCACAGCGGGTTTTTCAAAACGCAGAGTCTTTATTTTCTTTCAAAACGGTAGATAATCACGAAATCCAACATAAATAGCTTGCTGTAGCATATAACAGATAAGGGCTCACCAATCCTCAAGTTGTCCCATACACTCACGGTGTCTCAGTCTTTTAATAAGTCTCTCTTGCAGCACAGCTGCTCCGGCCTCAATCTTCAGGGCCACTGTCTGGTTCCTCCAGACAACGGCAATAACATGCCAATCCTCCCAATACTGTTCACGAACTCGAAGCTCCCTGCTGCACTGGCCTCCACACTGACTCCGGGGTGGAGCTCTCCTGACTCACAGGATGGGCCCTGAACACATCCCAGCACACTCTTCATGAGGGATGTGCACAGGTGCACAATTAGGTGCCGGTCACTACCAAAGCATGGACCCAGAACTGGAGATTTCCTCCCACCCAGAGCTCTAAGAAATCTCCTGGCTCCAGGATCCCAACTAGGATCCAGAAAACCTGGAAAGGACTGAAAAGGCAGTTCTTTCCATGTACCAGTAATGTCTTCCTAGAGCCACTCAGCCCCTCTGGCTGAGAACCCTGGGTGACTTTGAGGCCACCTATCACCGTGGTAATGCCACGCAATGCCACAGGGGACACAGGAGCAAAAACTGTTACCATGGAAAGGTTCTAACTCTTCCCTTCACATGGTTAGCTCTCCATGTATCCAGCAATGAGACAGTGCCACCTTTAGGCAGTGCAACACCTCTTCCCAAGTGTAACACAGTACCAAGCTACAGAATGCCAGCACCTTTTAAAGTTGTATGGTTTTTATCCAGCTGTATAGTTTTTATTCTGTACTTGCTATACATAAATAAACTAACCTTGTGGAGCTTTCAAACATGTTGCCATTTTATGGCTTCTACCTCAACCCCCCCCCCTAAAAAGAACTAAAACTTCCCTAGCTTTAGTTGCATAGCCATGTATTACTTTATGCTTCTGTCCTGACACTCCTTCATTTTTTTTGCTAATGCATAATGTGTAATTACACAGACTTTAATTTCTTATCCAAGTTTCCAGTGTGATGTAAAAATCAATGTTTTTTTTATCTGCAGACTTTAACAGCAGTGAACTTGAACAATATGACTCTCTTATCACAAGTAACCTTGTTCCCATGTACAAAGAATTCTTCAGTAAGTGCATTTTTTTTAAAATTCATGCATCCTGTTTTCAAACTGTTGGTGCAGGCTAGAACAGGTTTCTGTGGAGGACAAGAACGATTAATGAGTAGGTTTTTTATTTTTCATGCGTCCATTTTAAACACACAACTATGCCTATAAATATAAAAAAAAGGGGCTTCCTTTGCACATAGCTGAGTAGTGGATGTAAATACAGCTTCAAGGGGTATTTAAGAAATGAACTCCTTTAAAAAAATAAAAAAAAGAATGTTAAGCCAGCATTCCACCCTTTTTAGGTGTAGAGAACAGTTTTTGACCCTTTGCTAGTTTTTTTTACTGTTATACAAAATATATAACAAAGGGAGTGTCAGACCAATGGTATTATGCAATCACTTGATGCTAAACAGCCCATTTTAGGATTACAGGCCGAGCTGCAGAAGTCATTGGAAATAAAAAGTATTATTTCAAACCTATTTAGTTCTGAACATACCAAAACCAGATGATTTCCTTCATAGTACTTAATACAATTAAGGACAAACCACTTCTGCTAAGTGCCATTTTTTTGTAATAGCTTAAAGTGACCCTGTCAGTACAGGCTTAATACTAAAATAAAGCCCACCTGTAAAAGAAGATGCTACATATTTACCTTTGTTGAAACTCTGCCGCATTGCTAATCTCCAGCTGCTGAGGTATCTGATACTTTGGGTAAATACTTGCTTCCCCACCATACTCTGTGGTTCCTCCTACTGTTTCAAAGTGACATGCGAACCGACTGGTAGAAAAACAGAAAGTGGTGGGAGGAGCAGGTCTACACCGCCCGAAGCATAGATACATTAAAGCAGCCAGAGACGAGCAATGCTGCGGATTTTCAATACTGGACAACTGCTGGAAAGCTAATAATATAGCCTCATCCTTTCCAGGTGGGCATATTTTTCATTATTTATAACATAATTTTTCTGCTTTGCAAATAGGAACTGTGGTAGCTATTGCAGCTATTGTCCCTGTTGAAAATAACTGATGACCTGTAAAATTCAAATCAGCGTGGTTGATTTAGAAAAAGGAGCAGAGAATGTTCTCTTTGCATCATGTTCACGTTCCTTTGTGAATAAACTGAAGCTTTGTTCGCTTCAGGCATTCAATCATGTGCAAGCAAAACAGAAAGGGGAAGTGAGTAGTGTAAGTGTTCCTATGCCCTGGTTCTTTGTTTACATGTGACAGCAGCGATGAGCTGTGGTATCTGTCACTGAGGATCTGCGTTGACGGGAGATCTTAATTGGACAGGCAGCTCTCCTGATCCCTGAGACTGCAGAACAGATTAGCTTTGGTGTCATTGCAATCAAGGCGGCTGATGGAGGTCTGATGAAGCACAATATAATTAAAGAGGCATCCTTGGGGACCCAAACAGGGGACCGCGATCAGCTAACCTGTCACTGTCAATCATGGGTTCAGGCTGATGGAGGCCTGAATGGGAATGCAATCATTCTTTTGGAGGTACAAACATATCTCTGCTAGTACATTATACCATGCTGTATATTCCTTATTCCACACTGCTTTATTTCATATGCCATGGTGTACGTTCCCTATTCCACACCGCCTCATTCTAAATGCCATGCTGTATGTTCCCTATTCCATACTGCCTTATTCCATATGCCATGCTGTATGTTCGCTCATTCACAAGGCCTTATTCCAAATGCCATGCTGTATGTTCCCTATTCCATAACGCCTCATTCTATAAACCATGCTGTACGTTCCCTTTTCCACACCACCTCATTCCATATAGCATGTTGTGTGTTCCCTATTCTACATCATCTCATTCCACATGTCATGCTGTATGTTCTGTATTCCACACCATCTTATTCTATATACCATGCTGTAAATTCCCTATTACACACTTCTCATTCCATATGCCATGCTGTACATTTCCTTTTCTACACCGGCCACGTCTATATACCATGCTGCAGGTTACCTATTCTACCTATTCCACACTGGCTCATCCCATATGTCATGCTGTAGGTTTCCTATTCAACACCTCCTCATTCCGTATATCATGCTTGGGGGTTCCCTATTCCACACCACTTCATTCCCAGGGGCGTAACTAGCAATCACGGACCCCATAGCAAAATTTTGTATGGGGGCCCCCCAAACTGCCCCCCCCCTCAAAAAAATTACCTACCTCCAGAACACGTTCCCGTGCCTGCGCCATCTCCTTCTCTTCAGCTCTGCTGGCTCTTCCATCAGAGCTGATGAAAAGATCAATCCGCCGCTCACTGCTGCAGAGCTCGCCATAGACCCCTCACAGCCCACCTGAGACCCCGCACAGCCCACCTGAGACCCCGCACATACCAGAGACCCTGCAGAGCCCAACTGAAACCCTGCAGAGCCCACCATAGACCCTGCAGATGCCAGAGACCCTGCATAGCCCACTATAGACCCCACAGAGCCCATGTGAGACCCAGCAGAGTCCACCATAGACCCCACAGCGCCTGCTTTGGGCCTCACACATACCAGAGACCCTGCACAGCCCACCTGAGAGTGACCCATCAGAGCCAACATGCACCCCGCAGAGCCCACCATAGACCCCGCAGAGCCCGCCATAGACCCCACAGAGCCCACCATAGGCCCCATAGCGCCCACTTGAGACCCCACACATACCAGAGACCCTGGATAGCCCAGCTGAGACCCCGCAGAGCCCACCATACACCCTGCAGAGCCTGCCATACACACTGCAGAGCCTATCTGAGACCCCCACCATAGGCCCCATAGCGCCCTCTTGAGACCCCACACATACTGGAGAGCCCATCTGAGACCTCGCAGAGCCCATCTGAGACCCTGCATAGCCCACCTGAGAGTGACCCTGCAGACCCCACCATAGAGTCTCTATGGTGAGCTCTGCAGGGTCTGAGGTGGGCTGATCGGGGATCCTTTCCCTGCACACTGCGCTCTTCTTACCTTTGAACCCCTGCTGGGCCCAGGCCTCCTCCACCTCCGTTGGCCTCCTTGGCCACCACCACTGCTTCCTGGTCTCCTCCTCCACCACGTCCTCCTGGCCTCCTCCTCCACTGCCACTGCTGCCACTGGGCCCCTGCCTTCTCCATCGCCTTGCCCTGGCATCCTCCTTTTCCACTGCTGCTATCGTTACAGGGCCCCGATCCCCTCTTCCACTGCCGCTGCTGCCAGGCCCCCCTGTGCCCCAAAGCGAATGCGTGGGTGGCTATGATGATTGTTATGCCACTGCTCATTCCATATATCATGCTTGCGTGTTCCCTATTCCACATTGCCTCATTCTGTATGCCATGCTGTTGTACAGGAAGTTATATTGTACACCACCTTATTCTGTACACTATGCTGCACATCCCTTACTCTGCAACAACTTTACAGGCTCAGCAGCTCTAGTGTGTATGTGTGTCTGGGTGCGCAAGCTAGCAGCATTAGCGTGTGTGTCTGGGTGTGCCAGAAATGGTATGTTAGGTGTTTGGACAGGGGTGCAATTTTAGTGCTTGCTATAGGTGCTATTTACCATAGACATGCCCCTACCCATGTGTTATTATAACATTTGCTAATGCACGGCACTCTGTATGGTTTGGTGCCATTCATTTAGAATGGCACCCCAACACACAGTACAGTGGGTGCCAATGACCCACACTGAAGTAAACCACAACACAAAATGTGTGTTTTGGTGCTTTGAGTTCTTTGGTGCTTTGAGTTTAAAAAGAAATTAACTAGGTCAGTTTTCAATTGTGTTGCTGTTCTTTGGCAAGTGATCCTATATGAATGAGCTACCCTAATGCATTGCATAAAATACCGCACATTAACCTGTGGTAACACAATGTAGCAGGTAGATATAGAGGGACCTTTTAAGTAAACCTGTCAAAAACCCAGAACCTTATGCAGAAGTTAATGATTTGTATTCAAATGTAACTGGCTATATCTATGGTCGTACTGATCTGTTTGCCATGTGATGTGCACTCAGGATTCAGTTTTTTTTATTGCCTAGGTTTGTAATAGGGTTTACTATAAACTAGACTTCTTCGCTATTAAGGCCATTAGTTGGAACACATTGGAGAGCAAATTGCAATATGCAAAACAAAAAGTCAAGTCACATTGATTACAGATATGACTGCAGTAAACTGAAATCTCATTGTTTACCAAGAATAATGTACACGTCATATATCAGTCGATTTGTTCATTCATAAATTATTATTTAGAGTATGTAGAACTTTTTTACCTCTGTTTTTAATGTGTTTTCTATTAGAATTTATATTATTTTACTTACATTAACATGTGTTAGGCTTATGTACATCAATTTGTATGTTTTTGGATGCATATAAAGGTAATATAATGTGGTTTTCTATCTATTTTCTTTCTTACATCATTATGATTGGTACTAAAAATGCATTAATTATTAAATCATGAATAACAAAATTATACAATCCTCTACCCAGTCAAAAGACATAACTTTTTTTTAGTTTAGTTTAGGGTTTAGTGCTATTTGAAGGCTCCATTTCAGAGATTTCCTGGCCCGCTGAGAACAGTTTTTCCAAACAGAAAAGAAGTCTCAAATCGGAATGCTGACAGAAAAAAAAATCTTGCTTCAGTTCATATATGAAAATATATGAAACTGCACTCTTGGTGGTACTAGACCTTTAAATAATAGGTGAGTGCTCAAAGTGACAGCGACGAATGGCACTGCGCCAAAACCAGATGAAGAAATACAAAGTCACCAGCACTCCAGACATGTCATTTTGTTTGACAATTGTGAATAACAATGTCACATATATACAATACACTTGTATTTCAGCAAAACTGAAGGTATGACAATCTCACCAACTCCAGGTTGTTGCACATACTCCTTGTGTCCCAGTCAGTCCCTGGACACAGTCCACCTCTCGTGGCACTCTTAAACACATCCCTCATGTGTCACTGGCTCTCTGTCTCCTCGGCTGTCTTCTAGGTGCCTCCAGCACACACAGCCACCTGGCTCCCCTCTGACGTCTGGGTGGAGTCCTCCTGACTGAACACCTATGTTTCTCTTCCCAGCTGGAGCCCAGAACATTAGCCAGCACCCTTTCCATAAGGGCTGTGCACAGGTGTGCAATTAGGTGCTGGCCACTACTAAATGATGGACAGAGGAATGGAGATGTCATCCCTTCCAATTCTCTTATAAATCTCCCAGTTCCAGGATCCCATGCCAAATCCAGAAATTCTGGGAAGAGCCGCAAAGTCAGCTCTTTCCCAGTACAAGAACTTGCCTCCTGGAACCGCTCAGCATCTCTGGCTGAGAATCCTGGGTGACTACAACCCCCAGTTCTACCGTGGGATGGCCACACAATACCACAATACCACAATATACACTGAGTGGCCAAATTATTATGACCACCTGACGTTTGTAGGCAAATTAGCTATAATTAGCTATAATTTGGCGCTGAAGTTGCTAGAGGGCCAGACCATTATAAATAGGGAAGCAGGTTGTTTACCACGACAGTAGAAGTGTTTTTTTTTCTGAAGATATGGGTAAACAACGCAATTTAACAGCCTTTTAACGTGGGATGATTGTTGACGCTCAAGCCATGGAGCGAGTATCAGCAAAACAGCAGAATTCGTTAAATGTTCAAGAGCAGCTGTTGTTAAAGTGTTTAAAGACTGGACTGTCAGCTGAAAATCTGGGTCTGAACATGCGAATTGTGGCCGTCAGCGACTAGTTGATGTTAGGGCAGAACGGAGAGTGGCAAGACTGGTACAAGACAACAGAAGGGCAACAGTGCAGTGTCAGATTCCTCGCATCACCTTTCAACATCTCGTGGAGTCACGAGGCGGCCCAACAAAGTCATCTCGTGGAGTCATCTCGTGGCCCAATGAAATAAATATTTCTATAATATAAATTTGTGACACACAATTAGATGTACTGGTGATGTCATATCCCTAGGAATACACATCTGACGGAGTTTGAGCCTTCCCTTCCTCTTCTACAAGAAAAGCCTTTTTATTTCTTACTGTATTGCTGTAAGAGAAAAGGTTCCCTTAAACCAGGCGATATCAAGTTATACAAGAGTGTTTATGAGCTTCATGTTACTACACAAAGTCCTGGGTAAGAATAGATGGAAAGTCTAGAGGAGTGCCCAGTGAGAGCTAGGTAAAAGGCAAATCAAAGTTCAAAATGAAATTGTAACAACCTGCAGACATGAATGGTCAGAGTTCACACAAAAGAAAAGCTCAAAAGTCAAAGTTTAATGCTTTATCAAGACAGAACAACACACCCAGTAGCTAAGTATTTTAACAACATAAAACCTACAGAAGGTCAGCTACAGGACAAGAATGGGCAGCTGACAAAAATAGCCAAGAACAGGAAAAATCTGTTGTCAGAATGCAGCAACAATTTTACTTCTGTTAAAGGGACTTTTCTGCTATCAGAACAAATGTACCAAAAAAGAGCTTTGCTGCCAAGGTGTGGCTGATGTGTATGAACAGGCGTTAATAAAAAGCAGAGCTGTTATACCAGCCAAATGTTGCCTTTTATTTTATAACCCACACTCTGGTTATGATGGAATTCTTCATTGAGCTTTTCTCCAGCAAGAGAGCCATCTGTGAATGAAAATAAGTGTGTGACTCAGCAGTCAGTTTGTAATCGACACACGCTAGTTCCGAACCAAAGGTGGCAAATAAATCTTAAAGTTGATCTCCAGACACTAAAAAACTTAAATTAAAGTGACACTAAACTCAGGAGTTACATTTTAAAAATGCATTCAAGTACTCTAACTATTAACAAAAATGTCATAGTCCTTCCTTTTGGAGGGTGGCCACTTTTGTTCCCCATGGTCCCTTTGTGTGTAGTAAAGAAATCATTGCTTCAAGCTCACTCCCTTGATGGACTACAATCTCACATATAGTTAGCTTATTTGTATTGAAATTATAATCCATCACAGGAGCAAACTTGGAGCGTTGGCTACTTTACAACATACACAGGAACCATGGGGAACAAAAGTAGACACCCTCCAGAAGGAAGGACGGTGTCAGCATGAATTCAGAGATGATTTGAGGATCTACAGCCGAGTGATACACAAAAAGGATACATTTGTATCAATAATAAAGGTACTTGAATGCATTTTTAAGATTTAACTCCCAAGTTTAGTGTCACTTTAATGTACCTGTGAAAATGTAAAGCAGTATATGCAGTCAAAACATTCTGTTACAGTTGTGTGATATTAAAGCTATTATGCTGACTCGTGTATTTCTTGTAATGTTGTTAATCCTTGTCTTTCTCTCTATGTGCAGGAATTTGGAACTACTTGCACAATGTTTTAATGCTGAAATATGCTAATGAAAGAAATGGCCTGAATGTTATTAGTGGGCCAATATTTGATTACAACTATGATGGACATATTGACGCAGCTAACCAAATCCAAAAGTAAGTCAGGTACAAAGTTGTGAACTTACTGGGCTAGTTTAGGACAACAGTAAACATAATGTCAATCATCAAATTAGAAACATATGGTTTATTCCCAATAGTGCCTAAGAGAATCAGCAACCAGATCATGATTACATTTATGTAATACAGCTTCCATTGAAATTATTCAGTGTTTTAACAGGAAATTAATAAGCCAGCTGCAGTAAAGAAATAACTTTTTTATTACTTAAAGAGACCCTTGTCTTTGTCACGCATGTGACACATTATAGTATTCTCCTTTGCGCTTCCCCTGGCAGCTACATAAAAAGTTATGTATGAAAATGAAGGAAGTGGCAGAGGGGCTGGCCCAGCACATCGTGTAATAAGGCCCCTTTCACACGGTCTTTTCGATCAGGTCTGCCTGTCAGTTTTTCAGGCAGTCCTGATCTGAATCCCTAAGTTATTCTATGGGCCGCCGGATCTAAATGGACAGGCGTCCGGCGAGGTTTGGAAAAACAAACGGATCAGAGTTCTGGTTTTACCAACCTGACCGTGTCGGATCTGGGGGAATCTAATGTAAACAGACACATGTCTGTTTACATCTTATTCCCCATAGACCAACACGGGTCCAGTAATTTCACTTTAAGATCACTTTCAGTAATTTCAGATCAGCAGGGATCTGTGCACAGATCCTCTGCTGATCAGACCATGTGAAAGGGGCCTAAGACATGCACAGAAGAGGAGAGGGCTATGACCTGCAAGCAGGGAGGGGACTGTGCTAGGGAATCTTATGTCCCTGAAGTAGTCATATTTTCTAGCAAGTGTTTCTAAAAAGCATTTACTCCTTTTGAAGTCATCCGTTTTTGCTGTCCTAGAAAATTGAATGGCAGTGGATTATTTTTGTTTTGTTTTTTACACTAATCAAAAGAAATGAACTCTTTAGTTTCAAAGTGAAATGATAAACAGATTGCTACAAAATTATTTAAAAGATAACTATGTGGTAAGTGTTTTTTGCCCATAGTTCTCTTTAGGGTCACAGGAGTACATATGCTAACCTCCTCCCGTGACCTAAAGCTCAGTAGATTGTGGGCTATTGCCCGTGATATACTGAGAGTGCCACAGCCAGGACGGATCCTGACAATATGTCGAGATCCACCCAGCTGCGTGAGTGACAGCTGGCTCTGAAGGGAGCGGTGACTGACAGGCGGCGCTCCCTGCAGGGAGACAATTGGGAAGTCAGCGGATTGGTGGAAAATGTATTACAATGAAGTATACAAAATAACTAACTGCATACATCCCGTCAACTTAGTATTAAGCAGAAGTCTTTTTAATTTTTATTTTTTTCATCATGTAAATAGTATTACTTTCAAAGCATTAGTATTAAAATTACTAGACAGTAACAAGTGTAAGCTTTTGCAACACAATATTAGACAAATTTGACACACTATTTGTATTCAATTTTTCCATAGTTATTTAGAAGACACAAAGATTCCCATCCCTACTCATTACTTCATCGTACTCACCAGCTGCAAGAATACCACTCATACTCCAATCAGCTGCAGTGGAAATCTTAAAGTTTTATCCTTCATCATTCCTCACAGGCTAGACAACAGTGAAAGCTGTGCAGTAAGTATTTTGTTCCTATGACATCTATCAAGGACTGAGGTTACTATTCACACCTAAAAAACAATATATGTCCATTAAGTTAAACCATTTATTAAGCATCTATATTAGCAAGCTGTTTCAGTCAACGTTAAAGTGACACTAAACTCAGGCGTTAAATCTTACAAATACATTCAAGTACCTTAACTATTAACAAAAATGTATCTTATTTGTGTATCACTCTGAATTGGTGCTGACACTGTCATTTCATCTGGAGGGTGGCTACTTTTGGTCCCTGTGTGTGTTGTAAAGTAGTCACCACTCCAAGCTCACTCCTGTGATGGAATACAATCTCACTTTTGGTTTAATAATTTGTACTGAGATTGTAATCCATCACAGGAGTGATGACTATATTAAAACACACACAGGGACCATAGGGAACAAAAGTAGCCACCCCTCAGAAAGAAGGGCAGTGTCAGCACTAATTTAGAGATAATTTGAGGATCTACAGCCGAGTGATACACAAATAAGCTACATTTTTGTTAATTGTTAAGGTACTTGAATGCATTTTTAAGATTTGACTCCTGAGTTTAGTTTCACTTAAAGAAATCCACCTTCTGCCCCAGTGTGCCTTTAAAGTATACTTTAAATTATATCTAACCTTTGTTTTATTTTTTTGGATAAAGGAGATAATTTTTTAGACCCATGTCAGTTTTTTTTCTTGTCCCATTGGGGAGTTTTTATCTTTTACTTCCTGTCCTGTAGACAAAACAGGAAGTGCACGAAAACCTCTAAAAGTGAGAAAATGCCCTCACTTGTCATCAGAACAAGGATATTCCATTGGAAGATTTCTCATCTATTCATGCTCATTGACATCAGGTCACCAGAACAAATAGAGAGAGTAAAGCTGGACATATACAAGTAGATTTTCATATAAACGTTCATATGGAAAATCTCGTCAGAAAATTCGATAATGGCATCAGAGTGTTGTAGAATGTAGTTTGAAATTTGATTTCATTTTAACATTTAATTTTGGAACAAATGAAGTTGCTTGAACGAAAACCACAGTCATTGTCAGATTTCAGTTCTTTTGAGAAAAACTTTCCATTCTGAACCTTACATTTTTTTCCTAACTCTGGTCAAAAAGGATCATCGATTTGACTGCATGACTTTTAGAAAATAGAATAGAGATTTGGAAAACACATTTTTGTGAATGAAATTCTACTGGTGTATGGCCAGCTTAAATCTCCATTAATGAAAACCAGGACAGCAACAGAAGCCTGCAGGGTTTCTAATTTGTCACTACTCTATTTTAAATGTTGTCACTACTCTATTTATAAAAATGTTTTGGCTTTGGATCCACTTCAACATCAGCAGCAACTAGAAGTGAGTGAATATAGAACTTGGACATCATTTTGCTGTGGGTAGAGATTTCCTAGGCTTTGTTTGTAAAGTTGGTCGGGCACAGTGTGGACACTGAAGGAAAAAAAAAGTAGCAAAAACATCTTTAACTTCCTTTCTCTAGGCTTCTTTGTGGGTGACTTTTTAAATATTTTTATATTCTTCCCCCTTTTTGGTTTGCTGTGCTTCATACTTGTTTTCTAGTTTGCTCTTTATAGTGTTTACTGAGAAACATGTGAAAAGTTGTATTGCTTTTCACTAATTAATTTAACACATGCCATTTGCTATTAATATTATGTTGTTCGCGGTGCAGTGTTTGTAAAAAAATGTTAATTGTCAAGTTCAGATGTCACTTCCTTGCATTGTGGAAATCTTGGTCTGAACACTCTATGCCCAGAAATCTTACTTTCTGCTTGAGAGATTGGTTCATTGCTTTTAGCACAGATCTGCATTGAACTGCCAGTCCAATTACCGGTGCCTGCAAGCAGAGTTTGTTTTTTGGTAAAATACCAAATCCAGACCGAAAGCGATGGAGGCCCTATGGCTTTTGTTATTACAATGCTTAGCTTGCTCAAGTGGTTATAATGACGGCTGTCCTCCTAAATAACAATACCTTTGATATGGTAAGGCAAACAGAAAATTCTTTAGATTGTCTATGTATACATTTTTTCACACAAGATTTACACAATTTTTGCACACAACAGAATCCATTTCAAAATGTGAATCTATGGTGAAAATTGTCTGCATCTTTGTAAAAAAAAATTACAAACAGACCCCCCTACTGTAATGCAATAGGTAAGTTAAAGTATAATTAAACCTTCTAGCAAGCAGTAGATATATGCAAAAAACCTGGAAAAGAAAACATACCTGTGCCTCCGCTGCTCACTCCTGTCTGAAGATTCTCGAGCGGCCGTAAGGGATCTTGGGGCGGGTGCATACGCAGTAGAGATCTTCAGCCTTGAGAACAGGGGAGACACAGTGTAAGTCAATGCATGCAGCCGGCAGCATGCACACGGACAGACACCATGGGACACAGAAGACACAGCAGTCAGTGCTGGATCAGAGACCAGGAACCAGCACTGGAGGGATTGCTGAAAACTACTGGAAAGAAGAAGATGAATATGAAAACTACTGGAAAGAAGTGGCATCATTTAAGGTAAGTCCTTAAATCAGCAAGTGGGGGTGGGGTGGGGGGGAATGTGACTTTAATGTCACTTTAAAACAACAGGAAACACTCACATGACATAAGTGCCACCAACGGTATTGGGTAATTGCACCAAGTGATGAAGGCATTTATATCATGTCAGGGTTCCCCTTGTTTGTAAAATAAACCCATTACACTGTGAGTAGCCTCTTTCCTGAGCATTGTATACCTGAATAACCTACTAAGGGGCTAAGAAAATAGAGATATGATGATGGATATGATCCTTATCTAAAAACCTTTTTCTACTTACCTTAAGAAGTGGTCACATGACATTGCAGTCCCGAGTCTTCACCTCTTTTGATTACTTCTTGCTTGGGTCCTTTTTTGAGTGTCCAGGTCAGCACCTTCATGACATGTACACTTCCTATTGGATGTCCATTGGCCAAGATCCTCTCAGGATCCAGAAGAGTACAGTGGGCTTTAAATGCTAATTAAGAGCATTAACCTATAGCAACGAATGAGAATTGCCTCTGCTAAAATCTGGCCAGTATATGTAAGCTGTGTTGTACCTAAGCTAGCTATAAATAAGCATCAAACTCAAATGAAAGAGTGGGCAAAACTGAGGGGAATGCGTCTTTAAGGAGCCATATTATGTCCATTGAGGATCACACCTGCTTAAATGCAGAACATATTATAGTTGTTAATAATATTATAGTAATAACTGCCAATTTCAATATTATATCCCAGAAAAAGGGTCTGTAAAATTATGTAAGGAATTGTAGCCTTTATCAAATAGAGAACAGCTGGGGCCTCATTAAATCCTTAACACAGCTGAGAGATGTAAAGACAATGATTAAAGAAGTGAAATACATTAGGTTCAATGTGTTTTTACAAACAGTAAACCTAAAACTAGAAGGATGATTTTTTTTTTGTCCTACTTTTTGGAATGTTTTTTGTATACAAAACCCACTAAACAAAATCCCCATCCCAAAGTATAGTATATAAATCTTTGAGGAATGCATTTAAACCCAGTGTTATCAAAGAACTGCCAAATTGTTAGTGACAAACAACATAGACTGTATTTTACTTTACTGCCTTGGTAAGATTGTGGCTTGGCACAATATTTTGAGGGTTTTCTAAATGGCTTGTCATACCATTTACATTCTTTGACTTTGTAACATTATTCATATTATTCTCAAAAAAATGTCAATAGAATATTTTCTTCATCCTAAACCATTTATTGCTCCATTATACAGGGTTGTAAAAGGACCACTGTTGCTTGCCAAGAAAACTGGCATACATATTCCTTCATAATAAATTCATATTTTTTAAATGTATTCCTAAATATGATGCAGTATATTTCCCTTGCTTATATCATACTCACACAGGCTGTAGCTAACCTTTGATAATGCTCAATTTAAAACAGGCCCGTGCCACATCTAATTATTTATTATCACTGATGGAATTACTGCAAGTTAAGGGGTGCGGCTTCTTCTTGGAGTTTAAATAGGATCTAGTACTAACAGTGGGTAATCATAGGCCTCAATATGATATAATTACCCTGCAGAAGTGCTCGCTGGAATGATATTAGCCTGTGGTGGTAACATTCACTTGGAGTCTATGCTTCATAAAGGTACTTCCTAAATATAGTTTTCCACATAAACAAATGTTCAGATGACCATGATAATTCCTCTGATTAGGACACATTCATTCTTGATTCAGTTTAGAGCTGAGCTCCTAGAGCTATGGGCCCTGCAATGTTTGCTAGCTCTGATGTTTCTTCTTTTTAGCATGTTTTTTGGCAGAAGTTTACTTTGTCACTTTTCAACAACTTTTTAAACAAGTAGCTTGATAAATGTAGTTCATTCATCCTTAGTTTTAAAGTGGTTTTGTATAGAGTGGAAAGGGATTATATGACCTGCCAGGTTCATATTACTGTGTGTGTCCCATTTAGGGAAATTCAGTCTCCATCTGTCCTGGAAACCATTATCACTGAACGAGAAAGTAAATGAAAATCACAAATTTTGGGTTGTCATTAGAATAGGAATAGATGGTAAATCTTCCAACAGGGACACTAGTTCTGGTGACCACAATAGAGTTTCCTCACTTTAAAGGGATTTCCTCCCACTTCCTGCAGTGGCTATCAGATGGGAAGTCTGATCTCCCCAATGGAACACAGATGGCTAATAAAGCTGACAGGGGGTTATAACCCCTGAGAGTAACTCACTTACTCTATTCAAAACAAAAAAGGATTGGCTTTCCTCTACTTTAACATACCGTATTTTTCTGTGTATAAGACGCTACTTTTTCATAAAAATGTTTACCTAAAAATAGAGGGGCGTCTTATACACGGGGGCCAAGAGGAGAACCGCGGTTGCGAAACTACCGATACCACTGCAAACTAGCCTCACGAGTGAAACTTCGGATTGCAGAGACAAGGTAAGTTTTCCTTCAATCATAAATCTTTTGTACCTGACGTCAGCTGTTGCTGGGGAGAGTGGAGGAAAACTGTTATCTTGTCTCTGTAATCCGATCTCCCCAGCAACAGCTGACGTCTGGTACAAAAGATTTATGATTGGAGGAAAACTGTTATCTCGTCTCTGTAATCCGATCATAAATCTTTTGTACCTGACATCAGCTGTTGCTGGGGAAAGCGTGTAGCCAGTGCCCAGAGCGGTAATGTCGGGGCATAAAAGGATTGACTCAGAGGTAAGTGTGATGCATTATATCATTTAAAATATTGATTTCTGAATTTTGGGTAAGAAAAGTTGGGGGCGTCTTATACATGGGGGCGTCTTATAGACGGAAAAATATGGTATTCTTATTGCAGACCTTAACAAAGCATATATTGTTACAGTCCCCCAAAAATCAGTCTGTACTCTAGAATTTTAGACTATCTAATAAGGGATTAGTAAAGTTCAGCTACTTTGTTCTATAAAACTTAAAGCAATGTTTAAGGTGCCAATACATGTTAATAATAGACTACGTGTAAAACAATGGAACATGGAATCTGAGTTGCATAATTACGAATATGTCCACTGCCCAACCACTTCACTGCCCACATAGCTATTTCTCTCATTTTAGTCCAACTCTAGGAACTCCATTCAATGAAGACTGTGCAAGTGCTCTTTGCAGTAAAATAAAATCATCTTATCTTTCATTTTTAGGACAATAAGCCAGAAGAACAATGGGTTGAAGAAAGGCTGAAAGTTCATACAGCTCGTGTCCGTGATGTAGAATTGCTCACAGGCCTGGACTTTTATCAAGGGAGAAATCAGCCCATTACAGACCTCTTACAACTCAAGACATTCTTACCAACATTTGAGACTATTGTAAACTGATTGCACTGTATTATGGATGAATACATGTATAAATCAAATCTGTCACTTCAAAAGATCCTGCATGCAATTTGTTGCATGGCATTTGGTGCTAAAAAATTAAACAATATACAGCTAAAACAGTGGAGCTTATGCTAAGCAAATAAGCCAGAAAGGAAACTGGAGCCATTCTATATAATCAGTCAAATTCTTCCTTCCATTCAATAGCAAAATTAACAGGAATCTGATTCGATTTTCGTTTGTTCTTAGTTTCAGTAGTCAGCTTAATAATTACATACTTTGGAGTCTCTGGCACTAGCCGATGCATTCCATCAACAGATATACCAACCAGATGTATCGGCCACAACATTGTAGATTTAAATAATAATAATATCAGAATTCCATGCTGATATTTTTGTTTTGTTATTGTTGGACAAGGTTTACTTGCCAGTGCTAGTATACCAATTAGTTATATCACATTCAGTCTAGCCGTGCCAGCCAGATCTTGACCAGAGATCAGAGTCAATCCTACTGGATCCGCTCTCAGAAATACATTTACTATGTGTACTTGTAGAAAATGTACTAATGAGCTAGTGGCATCAAATACAAAATTATATATACAGCCTTTTTGGGTCAAAGATTGGACCAGGACTTGGAGATTAAACTCTGTCCTGTTCCAACCTAAACTAAACAAATGTTTTGGGAGAAGTGCTGTTTAGGAGACCAAAACACTTCAAATATTTAACAATTATAACTATTGCTAAAATTAAAACCATTTTTATAGATTTAAAAAATACAAATGACAAAATAGACAACATTGTCTCTACAGTATGATGATTGTGGATATGTATTATATAGTTTTGTACACTACCCTAACTTGGTACATGAAATGTGATTTCGCTTGCAATGTTTATTCTATTTCTGTCTATTTTAATTTTGTTTCATGGTGATGTAGAACAGCTTTTTTTCCTACGGAAACACTTGCCTTTCCTCAACATAATTGTGTACTAAAACATATGTTAAAGGAAGAACTAAGTGGAAACAAAAGTCTGTTTAAAAATGTAAAGAATGCAGCAATTCATTAATTAAAGAAACATGTTTACGCCAAATCTGTCTGTATCTTGAGCTCCACTGTATTGCATCTTCTATGTTATTTTTGCAAAGGTCTTGAGGATTTTAAGAAAAGGAAACAAAACCACTGATTGTCAACTGCCTGTTGTTTAGCAATGATAGCATGAATTAAAAAATACAAGTGAGAGATTTGTTTTAAAGTATACATAAATTAAACTGAGAGAAATATAAAGGCTGGCATTTCAGACCTCTGCTTTCTAAAATCTTACTTGCCAAACTGTTATACAACTATAATAATCCAGTGACTTCAAAACTTTCTGAGTCACTGAATTTGTATGAAGCATGCAGATGAGGAGTTGTGACTTCACTTGCTACATGCGTGCAGCAAATCAGTGAGGAATCAAGTATTTTTAATGGGGGAACAGCAATGACCGTTTCCTTTTTTCTCTCATTAGAGATCATTGACAGTTTTCATACATGAAATAAATATAAATACTGGCTAGATTTTAAAGCAAAACACATACTTAAACATGGAAAAGGTTCAAACATGGTTCAAAAGAGAAGAATGTATAAACTGACCTAGATTCTAGGACAAAACCTCTATGTGATTGTTATCACTCTGCATTTACAGATGACCTATATTATGTAAACTGTGCAGAGTGCCAAGGATTAATCATATTACCTATAGGCCCGTTACAGCTCAGCTTCTCCCCGGTATAGACTTGCCATTCCTTCATTCATGTTGTGTCTCTGTGTGGAGGTGATTATCTTTGTAGAGAAGCAGAATTTTACCGTCAGGGTTTCTTACCCTTCCTTGTTCTTATGTCCAAACCTACAAACATCATCATTCTGCTACTACTTGCAAAACTCTGGCAAATTCCTGTCCCAAAGTGATGATGTAGGCACAAGTTGACTACTTAACCTTCACCTTGTCCATTCAGTCTCGGCCCTTGTGTTTGTTCTGATCTACCAAGTGCTCTGCAGTTCCTGGTCTCTGTTTATGACCCTCGCTCTGGCTAACTGGTCTCCTGATTCTTGACCCCAGCTATTGTCTCTGGTCATCATGCTTTTAAGTGCTGCCTTACCTGATTTGGCTGACTACCCACTTTGGCATCTTACCCCTGGCTTGGCACTGGTGATGTCCTGGACTTTCTCTATAATTTTTTGCCATTTATGTTTATTGTTATTTTCAATAGACTCATTTGATTTTTTTAAAGCTATACTTTATATTTGAGTCTGGTTTCTTGTTTTCCTAACACTTCCTTTCCCATGTTATTCCTGTCACTGATGATCTAAAAAACTGAATAATGAATGATAGCAGAAAATTCTGTAGGCAACTGGAAAGGTGTGGGAGACACAGATCCACAGATATCAGTAGCAGCCCAGGGCAGACCTCAGTAGGAAACAGGAGAGGGAGAGGAAAAACAGTTCAACAGAATGAATGAAATAGTATCAAGGAGAGTCTTGCATCTGATACAGCTTTCTCTCTAGCAAGCCCTCAGAAAATCAATGAACAGCACAGAAGTGACATCACCAGCTGTCACTGCAAAGCTTATAAAGGCACTCTCATGAAATAAATCTCATGAAAATAGCAGTCATTAAAAAGCAGAGATGGGCGTGAAATGCCTTACAAGATCTCACACAAATATTCTGCTATGAGGCTACAAAAACAGGCGTGCCTAGGTAATGTCATGTCAGCAAGTACACATCACATTCTCATGACACAATTACCCTTGGTAATATTCCCTATAAGTCAGCAAAACTTTGCTTTTTAAGTATAACTCTCAGCCATCCAGAGGAGTATGGCTCCCTCTGTCCTTTGTCATTCTGTTGGGACCAACCGCAGGTTTTATCCCAAGTGGGTTAACATTTCAGTGCAGCACATATGTAAAATAAGGCCATATCCTGTTCAATTAAGAAAAAAAAAATCAATCAACGACTAATCAGTGAATTTCAGCAATGCAATCTTTGTATAGCTAGAGTTAATCTGTAAAATGCAGAGTCATTGCAAGGAATGCTTGAATGGATTACATTAAATGTGAACACTGGGCAATGTATTGATTGATTGCCTTTACATTTTCTACTTTCCTTTTTTCACACGTATTAATGTAAAGAAAAAATAAAACATCTGCATCATTAGGTAAATAAGTTGAGCAAGAATGCAATGAAAAGGTTACAATTTCTTCTTACACACATAAAGACTTCCCTATGTATGAGAATCTGAAGCTGTATTTGGTTATAAGGGGCTCATAGGGGTACAGCCTGGAGTTGTCGATGGGCATGGGGAAATGCAAGAGATTAAGGCAGATTTACTAAAAGAAAAGAGAATGCTTACACAATAAATTGAAAAAAGTGAATCTTCATGCAATTTATGGTATTAACATGCTCAAATCATTTAGTAAGTAAGCCTGTGTCAGCAAGGGCATAGAGAGACTGGTGTGTTGCCACTGCATGGAAAGAGTCCGAGTTTGTCGCATACAGCTAAGTTTGTATGGGACAATGCAATGCAAAGTAATGCCAAGCAAAATCTGTTTAAAAAAAGAGAGAAAATTACTATAAGTCAAAGTGTAATATATGCGTTAACAACATGGAGAAGTCTGGCTCTAACTGAACAGGTGCTGGCAGGGGCCAGCTTAGAGGAGGGTGGTAACATGGAGGAGCAGAACCCAGAGGTGGGTAGCTGGGTAACAGTTAGAAAGAGGGGTAGAGGGAAGAGTGTTAGAGAGACTAGTCCTGAGTTGCTACACCCCAATAAATATGCCCGTCTGCATAATGTTGGGGGATATCATCTTAGGGGTAGCGTTGCCGGAGCAGAATACCTCGCCTAGCTGCCAGGGCAGTGACTGCTCTGGTATAGAGGATAGCAGGGGGTCAAGCAAAGACAGACAGATCCTGGTGGTAGGGGATTCCATTATTAGGCGAAGAAACAGGGTAATCTGTCACAAAGAACGTGATCGCCGAACAGTATATTGTTTGCCGGGCATTTGGGTTCAGCACATTGCGGATTGGATGGACAGATTAATGGGTGGGGCTGGGGAAGACCCAGTAGTCATGGTACATGTTGGTACCAATGCCTAAGTCAGGGGAAGATGGAGTGTCCTTAAGAAAGATTTCAGGGATTTAGGTGAGACACGAAGAAAAGGACCTCCAAGGTTGTATTTTCTGAAATACTTCCTTTACTGTGAGCCACACTAGAGAGGCAGCAAGAACTTAGAGAGCTGAACAAGTGGCTGTGGAACTGGTGTAGAAAGGAAGGGTTTGGGTTTTTGGAGAACTGAGTTTATTTCTCGGCTACCGGCTCTACAGTAGGCACAGACTGCACCTGAATTAAGAGGGTGCAGCTCTGCTGGGGGAGAAGATGGTAGAAAGTAGGGATGCACCGATACTGTTTTTTCGGTATCGAGTACGATTACCAATATTCTCTATTTCGGTACTCACCGATACGAGTACCAATGCTGGTACTCCCGGTAGCATGGAGATGGCTTCCTGGGCAATCAGGAAGCTGGGCAGCGAGTCATTACCCGCTACCCGGCTTCTTGATTGCCCGGGAAGCCCGGCTCCATGCTGTTTGGCCGGCTTGATGCTGATTGGCCGGGAATCCGGATTCCCAGCCAATCAGCATCGAGCCGGCTGTTTGACCTGCTCAATGCTGATTGTCCAGGAATCCGGCATACCAGCCAATCTGCATGGAGCCAGTTTCTCAGCCAATAAGGAAGTTGTGAGGCAGGTCAAACCCAGAGGTGGGTAGCTGGGTAACAGTTAGAAAGAGGGGTAGAGGGAAGAGTGTTAGAGAGACTAGTCCTGAGTTGCTACACCCCAATAAATATGCCCGTCTGCATAATGTTGGGGGATATCATCTTAGGGGTAGCGTTGCCGGAGCAGAATACCTCGCCTAGCTGCCAGGGCAGTGACTGCTCTGGTATAGAGGATAGCAGGGGGTCAAGCAAAGACAGACAGATCCTGGTGGTAGGGGATTCCATTATTAGGCGAAGAAACAGGGTAATCTGTCACAAAGAACGTGATCGCCGAACAGTATATTGTTTGCCGGGCATTTGGGTTCAGCACATTGCGGATTGGATGGACAGATTAATGGGTGGGGCTG